GTCCAAAGGCCTCAGGGGGCCGTATCCAGCCCCCAGGGCGTAGGTTGCCTACCCCTGGTCTAGTATCATGACTAGTATAAAGCCATAACAGTAGCCATTTACAGTCTTACCCCTTTTCATTATTTTCCTTTTTAAAGCTGATCAAATTGGTGGCCATCACATCTTCCACAAATGAACTACATAAATGTACAAAAGATTGCCTTTTAAAATCTATTCCAAATTTCCCAATACTCCACCATTCAGCTTCATTGGATAACCCTGAGTTCCAATTTTATGGGGAAAAAAAAAGGAAAAGGCTTCTGTCCATTTTCTCTACACCTTGCTTAATTTCACCTATCACCATCATGTCCCTCAACAATTTTCCCAAGATAAGAAACATCAAACAAAAATTGGCCCAGCCCCTTAACTATTGCGATGATCTTTTCTGTACCTTCTCCAGCTCTGCAGTGATTAGAACTACAGTACAATGTTTCAGGTGGCCACACAATATTTGTGAATAAAGACATTCACAATTTACACTGGCAGGGTTTTGTTTGTTTTAAAACAATCTCCAGCATGGAATTTGCCAGTTTCTCAACTGCTGCATTCTGGTTCAAAGTTTTACTGTTGGTCCCCCACATCAAGAAGCACTGACCTAAACCATGTCTTCCAAGGGCTCATTCCCACTTACATTTAAACCAGTTTGTGATTCACCTTCGCTCCGTATCAGTGAATCGATTACAAAAGGTTCATCGTTCCCACTATGAAAGTAGATCTTTTCATTATTCCCTTGTAATTGCTTCCTTTTTGGCATGATCGTCGTTCCCACTAGTTTGTGCCGCTTCAAAATGCATGTCAATCATCTGCACGTCATTGGTGACACAAGTGGCAGCATGGTGAAGACTGGGTCATTCCACTCGCCAAGTGGGGCAACTTTAACAACTGAGCCTTCCTCTGCTCCCTAGCAACCCAGGCAGGTGCACGCCAGCCACCCCAACCCCATGCTGACGCTGTCCTGACGCCGTTCACCGTTACGCATAGTGCGTGGCATCAGGGAGCTGGAAAGGGCAAAGAAGAGCATTTGAGCCTTTAAAGCAGGGACAGGCAACCTTTTCCAGACCTGGGCCGGTCTGCTGTCGCCCGGGTCTTGGCTGGGCCAAGGGGGGGGGATGGCGGCGCGCACACAGCCGCCGCGGCCACTAACGTGGCTGCCACAGCCGCTAATGCGGCTGCCGTCGTAGTGCGCGCGGCTGTAGCCGCCACGGCGCATGTCGCGGCCGCCATTTTGGGAGTCAAATGGCAGTTGTGACGCGTTTGCGCATGCGCAAGAGTACTGCGCATGCGCAAACACGCCGCAACCACCATTTTGACTTCCAAAATGGCGATCGCCACGAGTGCAGCCGAAAACGCGCTCCGATGGCGGTGAGCGGCGGCAACCTTCGGCTTGGGCCGGTAAGTCCAGAGCCCGGGGCCTTAACCGGCCCCCAGGCCGTAGGTTGCCGGTCCCTGCTTTAAAGTAACTGCTAAAAAGCATGAATATGACAAGAACTTAAATGCAATGTTGGCATTGGCTAGTGGTTTTCTTGATTTAAAGTATACATTTTGAGGCTGAAGTAGTGTTCTTTGTGTAATCACCAAATATCCGGGACAACTTTAACTTTCATAACTTTGTTTTGATATCCTTTTAACACCATTATTATTTTTAGTTTTCTCCTCCTGGCATATGAGTGTTATGGGGTGAAGTCGCCTTCTACAGGTCATCCACAGTACTAGTAGTAGTAATAAAAAATTATTTATATCCCTCCTCTCTGTAAAATAAAAAATATGATCTCCCAAACACATTAGTTCCACTGGGAGCATAGAGAACGGATCTTGAGATTGCCTCAGCATATTCACCCTTCTGGGTCATTTGGAATGGTTTTTTTCACATTAAACTAAGAACTGCATCATGCAAACCAGCTCACTTCTTGACATGCTGCAGCATGTAGCACTGAATTGTTTTAGGGTACAATGAGTTTTCATTATCAGACATCATATGGCATTACTTAAACAGGACCAAACCAGAGCGGTGTAATGGTTAGAGCATTGGACTATGATTCTGGGGACCAGGGTTCAAATCCCTGCTCAACCATGGAAAACCACTAGGCGACCCTGGGCTTGTTACACTCTCTTGGCCAAGGCAAAACCCCTCTTAACAAATCTTGCCAAAAAAAACCTGTGATAATGACTAGAAGACACCAACACACTTACACAGGAACAGAGTAATGCTGTTAGTGTTATCATGCGTATCTACAGGCTGAAACTGCAATGTGTCATTTAGTAACCTTCCCCTTAAAGGGTTCAGATATAGGCATAGCTCAGTCCTGACTTGACTCACTGAGCATTTACCTGCATGTTAACATGCCATTCAACAACTGACTGAACAGGTCTACTTTATTTGGGGGGAACCAACAGGATGCCAACCATAAATGTGAAAAACAGCATCTGCAGCCCATTGCTATACTAGTTGACCCTTTGTTCACTCTCTCATCTTGCTATGAGGCATATTTGCAGAGTTGGCAAGGAAAGTGTGGGAGCAGCAGGCATTAGTTCACCTTCCCCTGAAAATATGAACTCTGGCTCTCTCAAGACAAGGCTATTAACATTATTATTCAAAAGGCACTATGGAGAAATTGCCCTTCTTCCTTAAGTAACTTTTTTGTTGTTAAAAAAAGACAGAAGCAACAAGAATACACAGAGAGGTACAAACACTGATATCACCAGGAACCACTGCAAAATTTCCCAAGTAAGGGTTGTCAATGGCACAATGAAATCAAAGCACACTTAGGAAATAAGCTTCTTCAATAGGAAGAATATACATTTCTTGGTAGGAAATGTGTCATATTTGTACATAGCTGATACAAGGTACTTACTCAGCCTGTTGCTGTTAGCTGCCTCTTTAGTCAACCTCGACTCATGGTGACCCTGTGAATGAGACATCTCCAAGCCCCCCCCCCCATTCTCTACCTCTTTGCTCATCCTGTATGTTCAGGCCTATGGTCTCCCTTGTTAAGTCTATCCATCTGATGTGTGGTCTCCCTTTTTACTGCACCCATTTCTAATCTTCTTCTGATTTCTTGACTGCAGTCTCATTCTGATCAATGTTTGATCCAAGGTACGAGAAATTTTTAGGTATTTCGATTTTCTCGTTATCTAGGTTCAGTTTATCTAAATCCTCCGTGGTCATTATTTTTGCTTTCTTTTACATTGGGCCTGTCTTTGCACCTTCTTGAGTTTCTTGCCTCAAACCTACCTCATGCCAAATATAGGTTTGGGGTAGGAGGCAAAACTATAAATAATATTCAAAGTTATAGTATCAACATTTAACTTTATAGCAATCTTTACACTGTTCAGGAACTCCAAGCAACATCTGCTATGCATTATAGTGTACACAATGCATTTAGGCAACCAGGAGTTGTAACTTAGGAGCTGCATTTATCCCCATACTAACTGCCAGTTTGTTTTTTAGAAGAGACACACAGCTGGTAAATTTAGTTAACGTCTTTATTTTTGAATTACAGAACAACACACACACAAAATCAAATACAGTGGTTTAGTTTAAGCAACGGCTTATTCACTAGTGCATACCTGAAGGATAGAAGTTTTTATGCCCTTAGAACACTATATTTAGTAGGCCAGTATACAAAAAAACTGGAAGATGCCAGTTGCAAGCCTTGTCCAAAAGACTGTAGAATCATTTTGTACAAGCAAGAATCTGAGCTTTACATACAGGATTATTTTTTAAAGCCAAAATAAAAAATGGCACCTAATCTGAAGAGTCTGACTGCACTACACAGTCCAACATCAAAGGTCTGACAACTTCTAAAGAGAGGTCACTGTTAAGGAGAGGTAAATGCTCACCCTGTATCATTAGTCAAGATATTTAGCGCACACCATCTGCAGTAAGCTGAGAAGGAAACATAGTGCAGTAGCTGCTTCATATCATACATTCACTTCCAAGCAGCAAACGCTTACCTAGAGCCAGTAGCTGACAGACATTTTAAAAAATCAGTTTGATAAAATCAAGTCAATGCCCTCAAATGCATCTAGGATGTATGCAATGAAGCTGCATGAAAATCATGACTGCAACTTACTTGCACCAAACATGAGTTTTCTGCCACCAGTGCGAGTTCCCTCCCTCGTTATTTACTTTTAGCTTTACTAAGCACACTAGATTTTCAAAGCTCCTGTGTTTCTAGCTGTTATCATATTGAGACAGTCAACTCTTCATGCTTTATTAGTCTTCATTTTTTAAACAAATTGTTTAGACACTGATACATATTGAAATTGTGGGGGATAAGAAC